ACCTCCAGGACCCACAATGTCTGTGAACTATGTGTCAACCAGACAGCTGTGGGCATTAGGCTGAGCTCCGTTAGTGTGCCACAGTGCAGCTTTCTCGAGATGGCAGCAGCTCTGGATTCTTTCTACCTCAAGGAGCAGGCCTTTTATCATGTGGTGTCGGACAGCATGGAGTGTAGCAATTTTCTGAGTTCCTACAGCCCTTTCAGCTACTACACTGCATGTTGCAGGACTATGAACAGGGGTGTGGCAGGCTTCATTGATTCTGAACCAGATGTCTTCAAATCCCCAAACATTGCATTTTCTTCCCTTGAGAAAGAAAATGTGAGGTATACCCCAAGCTCCGTTCCTCACATTGAGGAGAACAGGCATGTCTTTCCTGAAGTGGACATGAATAGCACAAACTTCACAGGCCTGAGCTGCAGAACCAATAAGACCCTGAACCTCTACCTGTTGGATTCAAATTTGTTTTGGTTATATGCAGAAAGGCTAGGTGCTCCTAGCACCGCTCAGGTGAAAGAATTTGCTGCAATTGTTGATGTGAAAGAAGAATCTCACTATATCTTGGATCCAAAACAAGCTCTTATGAAGTTCACCCTAGGTACTGTAGGCACTTTACTTCCCCAAGCACAATAAGTTTGCATAACTTGATATAGGTAACTTTTATCTAGTGATCTCATTACATTTGGTCATGGGGGCGATGTCAACTCTTTAGCTCATTTGAAATATTTAGGCTACACTGGTCATAATTTATAAGAAGCTAATTTTGTCTATTAAATGGAACAGAAACTTTCTAACTCAAAATTTTTGGTAAGTTTGTCATTTAGCCCTTGAGGGTAAGAGTCAAACATTCCAGATTGGCAGTACCTGTCACATTTCTAAGATAGGGAGAGCTGCAGTGGTAGAAACCTGGCCACTGTGATGGAGCCCTTTTGGTGTGAATGTCCCATGGGGCTGAGTGTGAGCCCTAATAACAGCTTCATTCTCAAGGAACTTAAACAGAAAGCAGTGAACAATAGAACTGCCTGTCCTCCCTGTTTGTCTCAAAGCTTTAAATGTATAAGTGTTAAGGCCTAATTTCTGCTGCTCTTTTATAAGGGTTGGGAAATGCTGCTATGTCCTTGGGTGCCTAGATTGTAATAAACAAGTGTCAGGTTGCAAACCACCTTTTGTCGGGTAAGACCCTGTCATTATAGGAGAGCTTGCCCTTGGGACTGCTAGGGGCTTGACAGCTGCAGTATCTAACCCACACTGCCCTGTTCCCAGGACCATGCTGACATCCTTGATACACACACAAGGAAGTGGGAATTCCAAAGCCATGTTAGTTCAGCCTCATTGGAAACACCAGGGAAAGTCAATGTTTGCCAAATGGAGGCAGGAGGAATTTGGAAGGGAAAGAAGCCTTTTGTTTTCAAGTTTTAGAGCGTATTATAAAAATAAAGTTAGAGCCCTGAGTAACAGTCCTTTCAGCTGTCGTTTGTAGAGTCCAGGTGAAGCTTGTTTCTTCCATTAGACACATTTGAAAAGGCTTATATCAATATGATTTTGTTTTATATCAAATTATATGTTACTAGAGGCCCAGTGCATGACATTTATGCACTGGAGGCAGTGGGGGGTGGGGGGTGTCCCTCAGTCTGGCCTGCACCCCTCTTGTAGTCTGGGACCCCTCACTCTTTACCACCCGCCTGCAGTGGAGGCAGGAGTGGCTCCCATCACTGCTGCTGCACTCACCAGCCTGTGAGTGGCGCTCTGGTTGAGCAGCACTCTCCCTGTGGGAGGGCACTAACCACTAGGGGCCAGCTCCTGCACTGTGCGTCTGCCCCTTGGTGGTCAGTGCGTGTCATAGCGACCTGCCATTTCACTGTTTGGTCCATTTGCATATTAGGGTTCATTATATAGGATAAACAGGAAGGCACCTGAGTGTTTAAAGGACCCTGTGACCTGTCACTTTGTGTATTCTTAATAATTTTTCAAATTGCTTCCAATTCATGTTTTTTTAAGTTACATTTTAGTGTACTGAGTTTTCTTAAAATGAAATAAGCCTGCATTTTTTTAAGTAAGTGTTTATTGAATTTTCCTGAATTCTGTTCAGTTATACCAGTGGTTCTCAACCTTCTGGCCCTTTAAATACAGTTCCTCATGTTGTGACCCAACCATAAAATTATTTTTGTTGCTACTTCATAACTGTAATGGTGCTACTGTTATGAATCGTAATGTAAATATCTGATATGCAGGATGGTCTTAGGTGACTCCTGTGAAAGGGTCGTTCAACCGCCAAAGGGGTCGCGACCCACAAATTGAGAACCGCTGAGTTATACCCAAGTACTCAATGAGCTCATAATGTAGTCATTTTGAATTTAAGGGTAATCTGAAAGAAGCCTTCTTAAGATTCCTTTTCATCTTCTGTATCTATTCTGGAACATTGAGCTCAGTTGTTCTTTGCCCTGTAGTTGGTGTCAAAAATAAGGGTCCTTGTAAAAAAAACAACCCACATATACTAGGAGTCATGGTCAGTTAGGAGAGTTGACTCTTTAAGTCAGCTGTTTCTGGGGCAATCTCAGAATTTAGGGTTCATACAGAACAGGAAATAATTCTTGGTTTTATGTTTCAAACACATATTCAAGTAAGTGTTATTCAGTGCTGATAATGAATTCTCTTTAGCATTCATGTGACATTCTTCACTTCCTCTCCCTCTGCAAAACATTGCATTGCTCTTTAAGACCTCAAAATGGAGAGAGTTAGATGAAAGAAAAGGAAGTGAAACTCAGATTAGTGCTGTTTTAGATGATACAGTGGCCTTTTCGGGGAGGGTAAAACTGTTGGTTCAAGTTAGGTTTTTGGATTATTTATGTGTGTTTTTTAACGTGCTTTTCTGCTAAGTATATTTGGGTTTATTTTTCTTAACCTTTTAAGAAAGAAACTTGAAGAACTTCAATAAAGGAAACAAAAAACATAGCTCCTTGTCCTCAAATTAATGAGTGTTAAACAACTAATACATTGCAGTAGACTGGTGCAATTATTGCATGTGTAGTTATACTTAAAGGTCTTAGTATTGTAGATTGAAATCTCTTAAAAGATGTGGCATGTTGATGATTTATGCAATCTCAGGTGTCTTGTTAGGAAAAATACAGGATATTAGAGCATCTAACAATGCATGGTGTTTTGTTATTTAAATTACTGTCTGCTGAGTTAATATCACCAAAATTAAACCTGGTGCCACTCTGGGGAGCTCTCTTCAGGGTTTTGCATGTAGCTGAAGTGTTAAAAATGTGAGCTGGTGAAGTCATCCCAATTTTTAAAATGTAGAGTTTAAAGTAGGCCAAATACTCTCCTTGTACTTAGAGAAGAGTTGATCTCATTTTCTCTTTATTTTTAGAGTCTTTTATTCAAAACTTCAGTGTTCTCTACAGTCCCTTGAAAAGACATCTTATTGGAAGTGACTCTGCCCAGTTCCCTTCTCAGCATTTAATCACTGAAGTGACAACTGATACCTTCTGGGAAATAGTCCTTCAAAAGCAGGTACGGGTCTGGTTAGTGTGGCTCAGTGGTTGAGCATTGTCATATGAACCACGGGGTCACGGTTCGATCCCCAGACAGGGGACATGCCCAGGTTGTGGGCTCGATCCCCAGTGGGGGGCATGGAGGAGGCAGCCTATCAATGATTGTCTCTCATCATTGATGTTTCTTTCTCCTCCCTTCCTCTCTGAAATCAGTAAAAAATGTATTTAAAAAAACATGTACGGAAGCATGAGAGAGGCAGAAATCAAGCCAACTACCTTATTAAAATTATTTGTAGTCCTGGCTGGTTGCTCAATGGTTAGAGCATCGATCCAAAGGTTCTTGGGATCGATTCCTAGTCAAGGGCATGTACCTTGGTTGCAAGTTCAATCCCCAGCCCCTGTCAGGGTGTGAACAGGAGCCAATCAATCGATGTGTCTTTCTCATGTCGGTGTTTCTCTACCCCTCCCCCCCCCCCCCCCCCCTAAAAATCAGTGGAAAAAATATCCTCGCTCCTTGAGTAAGGATTTAAACAAAAATTATTTCTAAAGCTGGGGTGAGTGGTTGGTTTTGATGTACAGAAGATTAACAGGACAGACGTATGAATTACGTATGGTTTTCTAATTGCAAAAGTTCTTAAGAAAGCACATAATCAGAAAAATCTGAAGATTAATTTTTTCACTGTAATATATACACAAGCAGCATTTATTGAATGCCTGTAGGGTTCTAAGAATGAGGGCCTGAGGATCCCAGTCACAACCATCTTCCCTTTCCCACAGGATGTTTTGCTGCTTTATTACGCACAGTGGTGTGGCTTCTGTCCTTCCCTCAATCATGTCTTCATCCAGCTAGCTCGCCTCCTGCCAACGGATACATTTACTGTGGCAAGGTAAGGAAGCCTGTTCTGCAGCACCTTTGGCTGTGTTCATCTTCACTCTTCCTTACAGCTTAGCCATATGGTTTACAAGGGTTTGCCCATTTTTCACTAACTTTGGGAAAGACTTGGTTGAATTTAATTACCAGCTTAAAGTCATGAGCAAAACCTCATTGAAACCAAAGATTTCCAGAAGAATTCTGAGTGAGTGTTTTTTCTATGATGTTGAGTGTATTTAGCCCTGATTGAATTCATAAGAGGGTGAGTGCAGTTCTGTGGGAGCAGTGCTGACCTGGTTGTTAGGACAGCCCCTGGAGAGGCCAGCTTCCTGGAATACCACAGGAAGGGTGCTCTGGAGTTGCATAGTAGTAGGGCCTCGGCCCACTGAAAGGAGGCCAGTCCCTGGTTTGCTGCCAGCAGCCCAGGGACCTGGAGTAAATCTCTCCACCAGGCCTTGTGTTTCTCCTCATTTGTAAAATTGAAAGGAAAGATTGGTCGATATCCACATGTTCTAGTTTTGTGATTCCGTGGAAACTGTATGTGATCTCCTCAGTAAACAAAAAATTTAAAATTGTGTTTTGTAAAAACAGGGCTCAAATAAAGAGGTTTTGGATAAGGAAAAAAGCAGTTTTTGGGGAAAATTATTTAGCTATAAGGTAAATCTTCTCTCCCTCTCCTCCAGATAGATTACAATTAAATATGAAATATCAAATCACAGAAAAAAAATAGAAGATAGACTATTGGATTGGCTAGTTCCTTTGAGAAATGAAAACTTTCCCAAGTGAAGCAGTTTAAAAAATAACAAAAGAAAATGAACAAATTCCACTAGAAAAATTGAGCAGTGAAAATAAATAAAACAGACTAAAAAAGAAAGTAATAGTTGTATTTTATGTCATACATATTTTACCTATTATATATTCTGTAAGTGATGATGAGAGCCAAATTTGAGGAGTTACATTGCTGAGATATATATACATATGCGCTAGGGGCCCGGTGCACAAAATTCGTGCATGGGAGGTGGGGGGTAAAGGGAGGGGAGTCCCTTCAGCCCAGTGTGCACCCTCTGTCATGTTTTGGGACCCTGGCCGCTCTGGGCTTAGGCGCGGGCCTACAGGCTCGGGGTGGCCTGGCTTTTGAGGGTGCCTGTCCTGGGGACACAGGCCTTTTGGCATTGGCATGCACACACTCCAGTGGGGTGGGAGTTTCCCCTGCATTGCCAGGCCCCGCCCCCAGCTTCGCGCGCCACCCTAACCCTGGCTCCCCAGCACCTATGCGTGTGCGCCAGCCAGGCAGAAGCTTCCCGTGCTCGCCGTCCCAGCCCCGGCTCCCCGGTGTCCACGTGCGCCACCCTGCCCCCAGCTCCCCGGTGCCAGTGAGTGTGCAGATGGCCATGGGGCCAGAACTTCCCCCACATCTGCCCTGCCCTGGCTGCCTGGTGCCTGTGTATGCAAATTCACCCGCCATCTTTGTCAGATTAATTTGCATACTCACTCTGCTTGGCTGGTGAGCACAGCAGAGGAATGGTTAATTTATATGTTTCTCTTTTATTATATAGGACTAGAGGCTGGGGGGGTGTCCCTCAGCTCCACTTGTGCCTTCTCACAGGCTGGGACCCCTCGGAGATAACGACCTGCTGGCTTAGGCCCGCTCCCGGGTGGCAGAGGGCAGGCCCAATCCCTACGTGCAGCCCCTAGAGCAGGGCCGATTGGGGAGTTGGGGCACCACCCCCTGTCATGCACAGAGCAGGGCCCATCAGGGGGGTTGGGGCTCCGTACCCTGTCACACACAGAGCAGGGCGGATCAGGGGGTTGGGGTGCCGCCCCCTGTCACCCACAGAGCAGGGCCGATCAGGGGGGTGGGGAGCTTCCCCCTGTCACACTCAGGGCAGGGCCGAGGGGGAGGTTGTGGCTCCACCCCGTCACACACAGAGCAGGGCTGATCAGGGGGTTGGGGAACTCCCCCCTATCAGGCACAGAGCAGGGCAGATAGGGAGGTTGTCACCCCGCCCCCTGTCACACAGCCGCAGGGCGATCAGGGGGTTTGGGCGCTGCCCCCTGTCACGCTGCTTCAGGGGCCAGGAGGCTTCGTGGCTCCGTTGATCCCAGTGCTGGGAGGCCTCGCAGCTCCGATTGTCACGGGGCAGTGAGGCCTTGTGGCTCCGCTTGATACAGGGGAAGTGAGGCCTCGCTGCTCTGCTGATCCCGGTGCTGGGAGGCTCCACTGATCCCTGTGCCAGGAGGCCTCGCGGCTCCGCTGATCCCAGTGCCAGGAGGCCTCGTGGCTCTGCTGATCCTGGTGCGTGAGGCCTCATGGCTTCGCTGATCCCGGGTTTGGGAGGCCTCATGGCTCTGCTGATCCTGGTGTTGGGAGGCATATTACCCTTTTACTATATAGGATAGAGGCCTGGTGCTTGGGTGGGGGCCGGCTGGTTTGCCCTGAAGGGTGTCCTGGATCAGGGTGGGGGTCCCACTGGGATGCCTGGCCAGCCTGGGTGAGGGGCTGATGGCTGTTTGCAGGCTGGTCAAGCCCCCCAGTGGGGACCCTCATCCCATGGGGGTTTGGCCAGCCTGGGTGAGGGGCTAATGGCTGTTTTTAGGCTGACCAAGCCCCCCGGTGCCG